GTTCAAAGGACAATGCCTGCACAGGCCAGACCCCCTACACTATTGTATTGCCTTCCCAGATCCCTATTAATTCTCAAAGTATCACTTGTTGGGATATGTAAACAATGTTTTCCAAGTAATTAGAATGTAGATTTACTCTGAAAAGTGACTGGGATTCCATGTTTGCTGTGCTACAGTTACTTCCTACTCACACTTTGCTCAGTTTACAAGAAGTTTTTTCCTAAGTGCCTGCTCAGCAAATGTTGTAATCGTTAAATCAGACTCTGTTCTTTCTGGTTTATGTGTCATCAGAGCATGCCAGTTTCTGCCCTTTCTTACAACTTCACAGTTCTCATCATTGGGGCTGCACTGGTGTACGTAGAGGCAGGGTTGGTTTAAGTTTACGAGGGGCCAAAGGCTAATGGGAGGGAAGGACTAAATATATCATACATATTCAAAAAAATTAAGTCAAATATTTATCTACATATATATTTACTTGTTATTTATGTAAATTAACAAGTTCATTCTACTCTTACTACTCTCAATTCTTCAAACACATACTACTCAATAAGAGGGAGCACAAGGGATGCTACATTGTCCTTCTCTTAGGCTTTCTTCCTCTGAGGAGCAGAGTGCTCATCTGAGGATGAATACTGCAACATTCCCCATCCTGCTCACCTCTTTTAAACTTGTGCTTCTACCTTCAGCTCTCTACAGGACACAGGGCATACTGAAGTCTAGGGGTGCAGCAAGGCTAGGCCTGCCCTGACCCCACGCCACTTCAGAAACAGCTGGCACATCCCTCCAGCCCCTAGGCAGAGGGCCCAAAGTACTCCACATGCTGCCTCCACCCCAAGTGCTGACTCCACAGCTTCCACTGGCCAGGAATAGGGCAATACAGGGTTGGTGTCTGTAGAGAGGGGCAGCACAGACAGTCACATTCCACCCACCACCACCATACGGATGTGCTATCCACTTCTGGGAGCTGTGCATGGCTATGCATGGCAGGTCAGGCAGGGAGCCTACTTTAGCCTCAGAGTGCTGCCAAATGGAAGCCTCCCAAGATAATCACCGGCTGGCCAGAGTCTGCACCCCTCACCGCCACCCCTACACAAACCTCCTGCCCCATCCCAAAGCTCCCTCCCACACCCCAACTCCTTTCCTGAGCCTGCAACCTGTGCCCTTTCCTGCACCCCAATTCCCTGCCCCAGCCTGGTGATAATGAGTGAAGATGAGGGAGAGCGAGCAAAGGAGGGGGTGGGGGAATGGAGTCAGCAGGGCAGGGCAGGGGGCAGGACAAAGGTGTTTGGGTGTGCGTGATTAAACAGTTGTCACCCCTACCCAAAACCAAATGGCTTCCAAATGCTGTTCTCTGATCACTGGAATTTAAGTACAGTTCAAATCCTTTTGCTATGCTGTGCTATGATGCCTGCCATTTTCTCTGTTTCATCAACCCACAGAATTGAGTAAACAATAAAAGTTAAAAAAAAAATCTCTGATTATTTTCTTTGTCATAGAATAAAAATATTCCAAAAGAAGTTGGTTCTGCCATTCACTGAGAAGTATCTCCTGCAGGCACAAACTGTTGGGCTACAAGGTTCTATCTTTACGAAATGTGGAGAAGTTTATTGCCTCATACATCCTCTTCTACCATGGGATTATCACTTAAATAGCTGCCCTATTTGAAAATGATACTCAATTTGTTGTGGCTACAGGTGGTTACTTTTCTCAACAGGATGGACTAGGAGTTACATGATATGAAAGTGGGATAAGAGGAAAATCTTTTGCAATGACATTAACTTGGTTTTATGACTAGCCCTGGAGGAAATATAGAAAATGAAAGATTCAAGTAAACAGTTAAAACTGTAACAACTGTTAATGGAGGGATGAAGATTTGAACAATTTTAAATTAAAAAAAAAGAAAATTCATTATTTCAGGCAAAAACATTCATTTGCATTTTAGGAAATGTCTGTTTAACTATAATTATTACCTGTCAGAGAGGAATTGATCTGCTTTACCATTCAGTATGTTATAAATCAAAATGGACTCAAGACTCTGATATCTCAGCCTTGAATCTGGCTTGAGGGAAAGATTCAGGGATTTTAATCTGCATTGATCTGCAAAGAGTCAAATTCCTGAGAGTCATTTCTGTCACAAGAATACACTACAAGATAATCTTTACTGTAAAAAGTAAAATTTCAATCAGCACTTGTCTATAGCTGATAATATTGAAATATTAAC